ACTCAGATTTATGAATGCAGTATGACAAATGTATGACAAATAGTTTTGTTGCACTTGTGTACTCTGAGATTCTGAACATGGGTCAGTGGAAGTTTTTAGTTGTCAATACAAAACTAGATCATCGGAAATCACTTTATGATGAGTTGTAACCACAAAGAGTACATATTTATTCACCTGTTTGCAGATGTTCCTTGTACAACTTTATAATCAAATAACGGGGACTGTGACATTTCATGTCTTGTTATGTGATAACAAGGCAAATGCTGTTTCATAGCCATATCTCTGACGTGCTTTGACGGATCATGTTTGCACTTTTATTTGTGTGATGATCAGATTCAAGATGGCCGACTAGTGGTCATTTTGTTTTAATAAATGCTGTTTCAAAGCCACATCTCTGACATGCTTTGACGGATCATGTTCGCACTTTTATTTGTTTGATGATCAGATTCAAGATAGCAGATTTGGTCATTTTAATGTTGAAAATACATCAAAAACAAACATTTCTGCAATTTCCTTGGTGTGCATACATTGAAAATAATGGGACTATAAAGTTTTTTTCAGATCATACTCAAAATTGACAAATGACAGAAATTTGTTATTAACAACTGCTTTTAGATTCATGTATCAGATGACATTATACATCATGTTAGACATATTAACATGCATTTGTTTTCATATTTCTGATTCAAAATGGCTGCCTAATTTCAGTTTTGTTTACAATTGAGCCAGCATTAAAATATATTTTGAATATTAACAATTGAAAATATGTGCAGCAGTACACTAAAAAAAAAAGAAATTGGCGGTGTGCTTAGCATATCATGAGGCATTGATGCTCACATAAAAATGACATTTGAAAATACACTGATAGCTGATGTTGCTGTAACATTTACCCCAATGACATTTTACCAGTCTCATGAAATAATGAAAACTGTCTTGTATATTCTTATAAAATTGAAATGTTATTTTAACAGATAACTTGCATAGTTGCTAGAAATTTAGATGTTGTCCAAGTTGTGAGATGTGAAGAAATCCCAAGTTATCTATTGTCTTCACTCAAGTATAAGCTGTATCCTTAAAAGTCTACCCTGATGTGTGTGGTAGCTGTTAAGTGTGGCTGGTGTGTGGTGGTAGTTGTTGTGTGTGATGGCTGGTGTGTGATGGCTGGTGTGTGGTGGTAGTTGTGTGTGATGGCTGGTGTATGTGATGACTGGTGTGTGATGGCTGGTGTGTGATGGCTGTTGTGTGATTGCTTGTATCTGTGGCTGGTGTGTGGTGGTAGTTGTGTGTGATGGCTGGTGTGTGATGGCTGGTGTGTGGTGGTAGTTGTGTGTGATGGCTGGTGTGTGATGGCTTGTGTGTGATGGCTGGTGTGTGATGGTTGGTGTGTGGTGGTAGTTGTGTGTGTGATGGCTGTTGTTTGATTGCTTTTATCTGTGGCTGGTGTGTGGTGGCTAATAATAATTATTATTAGAGGTTATTATGAGAATACATCGAAAGTATTGAGGTCGATGCAACAGCATACTGTCTGAGAGCATACTTTGAGGTATCTTCGTAATAACCTTATTATTATATATCTTTTCATTTCAAGGATACATCATGGGAATGCCAAAATCCAAAAAGTTTATAACAGAATCAGCAAACTTTTTTGTGTGGAGTCTGGTCAAACCTTGGTGGCAGCCATTTTTGTTATTATTAGAAGACGCTTATGCGTGTCATCATTCCATATTTGAAATTTGCATTTCCTAATATGGTAGGATGAAAATACCCCGCAAAATTGCGGCATGCTGTAACTTATGGTGTTACAGTGACAGATGTATAATAATACTGTTTATTTCCCTTTACTTTTTCCTAAGATGTTTGAGAAAAGTAAATAATATGCATTACACAATAAATTTGAAACAATAAATTTGGAGGATGCAATAGTGATGGGCAATGTGCCATGAATAGTTTAGTGTACGATGACTGATGTGCGACAGGTTGGTATGCGACAATTTAGCGTGCAATGACTGTTGTGTTCTTAACAACCTAATAGACATTTGCCATTTGAATCATTGTTTGGTAATTTCAATAAATCTAAACTGTTTTTGAAATGGTTCAATGAAGCACAGGATAATATTGGCATGCTCGTCAGATTAGAATGTAAAATATGCGATGTTGACCCTGATTTGTCTCCAAGACAAGAATACTCTACAATTCACTGGAAAGGAATGATTGTGAAGAACCCTAATGATATTAGACGTGAGTAATATAAAACAAACAATACATGTTTGTGTTGTGTATGTTGCATGGGACCCATAATGAACACACCGTAGTGTGATGACTGCAGTGCATCATTCAATGAAATCCCCATGATCATTTGTTTTCTGTACAAAAATAAACGGAGCAATATGTATGGAACAAACTGGTAATGATGAACAAATAACTTTGTTGCATAATTAAAACCTTCACACAGTAAATATAAGGTCTTCATTGATGGGAATGTGGATATTCGTTTATGGGAACTGGGACTCCATTTAGAGGGAGTTTGTCTTTTTTAGGGAAGAGTGGGGTCTTCGTTTAGAGGGGAAGTGGGTCTTTTTTTCAAGATTGGAGTCAATTTTCTATTAATATGTACAAAAATCTGTGTATCTGATCTAAATTGATCTAAATAAAAATCTTAAGATTGTCAACAAATAGTGGAATTCCCTGGTTGCTATGCTACCATGTGATGAAAAGTAGGTTGGTCAATGTTGACATGACATGGTATAGCTTCTGTATTGCTGGCATTCAGTTGATCATTAAAATATTATCTATTAGCTTGGAGTAGAATTGTTAACCCCTGACCTATAATAAGACCTTATATATACTCAGTTCCAGATATCAATGTCAAAGGTCAACTCCAGAGTTACTACTTTTTGTTGAATGGATGCAGCAAGACAGAGTGTACAGCCTATTTACTACATTCTGCAGACCAGTTGAACGGTGGTATAATACATCGCTTAGCATCTTATGAAAATACTCTTAGGAAGTCAGACCCTGGTAATGTATCAATTAATGGACACTAAATTTTATTAATACCAATTAAATAATAGATCTTTTAACTCT